GAAGATGGAGGAGAAGGAGATGGGAGAAAAGATATTTATTGGATTGATTGGTTCATGAGAAACATGGATGGATGAATGGACGATGGGTGTGCGCAGGGCGCAAGATACCAATCAATATATGAAAAATATGTTATTATATATTTTGATTATTATTATTGTTGTTGCTGTGGTTGTGGTTTTTATGCATAGTATTAGGTATTAGAGATTGCAAAAGATTTATTTGTATTAATAGTTAAAAATTATGATTGCTTGTTTATAGAGATGAAGAATTGGGACTTGGATTTTGAGATTTTGAGACTTGAGATTTCGAGGAGGGAAGTTTGCGGAGGGGAGTTTACGGTTTGTTAGTTATTCTCGAGTACGTTGATATGTGGTGATTGTGGATGGTGATCTGAATGTTGGGAAGATTGGGTGTGAGCTTCTGGGTTTCTAGAAGTAAGATTGCGTATCTACACACTTGGCCTGGGTAGTATGTTGGATTTGATGTCTCACTGTAAATACCTAGATGGATTCGCGGTACTTGTACAGCTAAGAAGCAGGTTCGAAGCTGAATACGTGTATCGCAAGAATCAAGATGGTGAACTACAAGGGGATGGGTGTGGTTTTTGAAGTAGTAGTGATTTGCTGAGCATAGCGAGCAGAGGTACTTTTTGGCTGTATGAGGAATCATTGAATTACACGTGATGAGGCGAGAAGCTGGATGCTTTGTAGTTTGTAGTTTGTAGTGAGCAAATTATGTAAAGGGGAGCTGCTAAGGATCGGTATTTATCCTGCTACTACCTGCTACCTGTTGAATTGTAACCTTATGTATGAAGTCTGAAAAGGACCCTTAAACCCTCGAGTCAATTGGATTTTCTCCCCTTTGTGTAGGTAGATAGATAGGTGAGATTCTACAATTCTACACGGTACAGTTCTACAACTACTTTCTTTTAGATCGCTTCTAGGGTTTTAATTATATATATTGCTTCGAAAAAGAAGCTTAAATGATTCTTTGGAAATTGGTTGTCGTTCTGGTCAATATCATTTATCGATCCTGGGATAGGTGGGGTGCAAATGGGAGATATTCTCATTTGACTTTTTGTCATTTGAGGACGTGTAATGCAGACAGAGCAGAGGCCAAGTACCTATGTATTGTGTACGTGGATAGATTTTCGGGTTTCTTGCTCTTTTTACACTTCTGGTTTCCTTCAGGTTTCTTTTGCGCATACTTTTTCGGGTATCGTTCTTTCTCGTGAATATCAAGATCAGTTTTGTTCCGAATCACCGTTTCATATTTCGGGGTGGAGTTTGAAGTCCAAGCACATGGATCTTGGCATTGGTAGAATGCGCAAGTGAAGATTTGCCGGGATGGTCTCGGTGTAAGATTGGATGGGAGCCAATTGGAGAAGTCAAGCGCAATGCCAAGATTACATCGAGGTTTCGAAATCGTATGTATGGGTGGATGATTTTAAAATGAGAGATGGGACGGGAGACAATAGTGGCTTGAAGGGGAAACGTCGTCAGGGGGTGAGGATCGTATATTTGAAGAAGTGGTGGAGAGTTGAAGTGCTGTGAGCTTGTATCCGAGTATGGGAGATCATTGGATTATGGAGATGTGTTACTGCATTAGGGGATTGTCGGAGGGATAAATGGAGGTGGTGACTACTTGTGGAAAAAGGTTGGAGCAAGAATGGGTGCATAAAACAAAAAAGGGTTATAAAGGACCCAGGAGAGCTTGGATATTGGTGGAGATACACAGAGCCAAGTACGGAGAACTTACACATCTCAGTCTCACAAAGTCTGCTCGTCTCGGCGTATATCCGTTCAGATATCGAACGCCGGTCTTGGTATTTTCTCTTCTCGACATCCTGCCAGGATGGATACAGTATATCGCGAACGAAGACTCCGTAAACACGACGGAGCCAGCCCGAGAATGGCGATTAAGCTTAACGGCGTCGTGGCATGTTGATTAACTTTTTCTATACCTTTCTTTTTTCGTTCTTGAAAAGAGGGAAGATTTTGATTGGGTGGGCTTAGCAAGTGGCAAGCCGTACTAAGTGCAGTTGAATGAGACAATGCGTTAGGTGGATATGCAATAATTGAATTTTGAGAGGGTGATTGACGATATATGAAGATGGGTGAATTCCTGTTTCGTTTCAATTTCCCCTTGGTCTGTTCGTCTGATATTCTTGTCCTATTATTTTGATATTACTGGTTTTGTGGAACATTTTCTTTTTATTCCAAGGAGAGATTATTTTATGAGTGGGAAATTTTGGAAAAAGATTTGAAGAGGGGATTCATTCATTGCAGATTGCAGATATTATCACTATATCTCTTGACGAGATTAGTCTTCTGGGAATTGGGAAGGGAATTTCTTCCTTGAGATATTCTTTGTACAACATTTACAACGCATACAATACAACTTGTACAACTTCTTTATCGACTCGACAGGCTCGAGCTCAAGACATTAACAGCACAACACTACACAAGGGGAGATTATCTGAGAGAAATCTCTTTATCCATTCTTTCAACCATCACTACAACAAACCCACATTCTTTCAACGCCCGTTTCAGTTTCTTTGAGAAGAACATTCCCTTTGGGAGAGGGGTTTAAAAACATCATCTCAACTAGACCTATCACGAACACCGATATCACAAGTTCACAACACAAGGTCTTTGTGTGAATCTTTGCCCACTGCGAAATAGATTTCTTTGACTCAGCCTGGGAACCAAATCATAAAGTTATTGATACCACCCCGGGGCTTGGAACTTAGTTTGAACTGATTGGAACTGATTGGAACTTCTTTCAATATCATTTTGGATACTTTGCATTTTACCTATTCAGTATTGCTGGATCAACATTTTATTTTCGAACTTACAAGAGATTACTTTCGCATTGCTGGCTAGCATATCATTTACCTTTCAGGTTGATCAATCGGTCCGATCGACTTTGTACAAATTTACTTGCGGAGAACAATATACATATTCCCACCACTCGTTACATCGGGAACGTCATAAACATCACATCGAGCTACAATGTATATTCCACGCCTTTCCTCCACTCTCAACGCGGCAACCCTCACCACCCGCGCGGAATCCCCTCCTACCTCCATCGCTAGTGAGGGATTCTGGGAAGTGCAATTTAATTTCTGGGGTACCATCCTCGCGTTCATCGTCGCCATCGCTATCATCACCGGACTCTTGACATGGTGTCTAGTGTGTCGCGGCAAGCGGATACAGAAGAAACTCGCTAGGGCTAAGGAAAAGGAACGGGAAGAGGAAGAGAGAGCCAAGAATGAAATGATGGGGAAGGTTCTGGGAGGCAGCGCAAATGGAGTTGCGAGAAATGGAAGTAAATTGGGTGTGGGAAGAAATGGGACGGTGAGGAAAAGCGAGATTAGCAGACCATTTCCAGCCAGATCAGAGAGTTCGGGGAGTGTGGATTCGATGGATGAGAAGAGGGAGTTGGAGATGGAGTATGAGAGGCAGAGTGGGAGGGATAATCACTGGTCTGAGAGGGCGGCTTGGAAAGAAGAGATGGCGGGAACGGAGAGTCCGGTTCCGTCGTATCATTCGAGGGAGAGGAATGGGGATGAGGAGAAGAGCGAGTGGAGGACGGAGAGTTTGAGAGGGGTTGATACCGTCGGAAGTGGAAATGCAAGTTCCACGCATGTGAATGGAAACGCAAATGCAGGAAATCCATGGCATAGGATCGAGGTTAATGGAACGGTGTATATGGGCCGAGAAAGAGGTGATTCAGCATATTTGGAAGATAAAGAGATCAAATTTGTGTAGCATTGAGTGGTGCTGTTCGTTCCAGGATCCTTTGAGTCAGATTGCATGATTCACTGGATGATTCATACATGTACTGACGAGATGTCATGTGTCCTGAATTGAGCTAACCCTCATTTCTGTATGGAATTTTGAATTTTTGACGGAGAGTTTGATGGGTTGGTGCAGAAGGGATGGGAAGGGATGGGAAGGGATGGGATAGAATGGGAATGGAAATGGGAATGGGAACGCAGGAAATGATACCATAGGATACGTTTGGAATTTGATAGCGAAATTTGCATAACTAGCTTGATAGTGCTTAATATTCCCAAGCAACAGTGATGGTGCGATGCACGCATTCTTACTTATTTCTATACATCTACACATACATATATTAATTTCTAATCATATGACATCATATTGTATAACATCTGAGAATGAGTTTAAGTGAAGTTTGAAGTATGGAGATGTGAGTGAGAGGGGAATGCTTCGGGAAAGAAAATTTCTTTGTGTGTGTGTGTGGATCTTTATTTCTGGTACGGAATAAGATAACTACCCAGTGGTTAGTCTTTACATCTTTTTCCATACCTAACATGTATTTATAGACGCGAGTCTCGAGGAATCGACATAGATTTACTGGCGAGATCAAATATAGAATACCCAGGTGAACAAACACACAACTCTATCCTCTCCTCTCCAGTAGACAAATCATATTCTTTCACTCCTTACAATCATTTCTAAGAATATCTCTCTCTTATCCTTGATATACATTTCTCAACAAAGCAATCTTTTACACTCCTTGCTCTCCAATCCTCTCACAAAGCACTCGCTATATAAACCTATTCTCCATTATCAGTCTACAAAGACTCTCATCACTACTTTCTAGATCGTTTCTACAAAGAGCGTCTACAATGGAAGATATCTTTTCTTTCTCTATTGTACCTCGTATCTTTGCTCCAGCGATACGCATAAAGAGAGTCTTTAATCCCATTGTACGATTGTCAATTCTCGTCTTGAGGTATCCTATATATACCTTCTCGTCCTTGCGGTTTTGTGTATTTATTCTTGGTTTTGCTATACTATAAAACAAATCCAATAAATAAACGAGATAACAAATAAACAGAGAGTCTATCACTTTACTTATACACACACTACTATATACATATATACTTCTCCAGCAAACGAAGAAACCAAAGTATAAAAATCTAAAGTTAAAAAAAACTCTCAATAAATAAAGCCCAAACAACAATATGGCGCCCGCACCACCCCCACAAACAAGCGCCTCAAGCGTCCTCAACTCACCTACATCCATCACAACACTCCTCCCCATCACCGTCGCCAAAGCCCTCGAAACCGGTTCCGCTTCTAGAATCCCCTCTATCGAAATCCTCCCTCCAAAATCCACTTCCGCCCCCAAGAGCATTCCCACATCCACATTCTCCACCTCCATCATATCCAAAACCAGTTCTACCATCTCTAGCACCGCTACCGCATCAGCAACATCTACTGCCGATAAAGGAATATTTACTCGTCCTTCTGGAAATCTCACTGCGATTATCACGATGATTATCGTAGCGATTTTTGTGGCGTATTGTGTGATTAGGTGTTGTATTTGTAAGAGTATGCGGAAGAGGAAGGAGTTGGAGAGGGAGAGGGGAGATTTGGAACGGGAGAGGGTGAGACAGATGAGGGAGAGGGAGGCGATTGAGATGGCGGGGAGGATGAGGGAGAGCAGTAGGGAGAGGATGAGGAAGGATGGCTGGGAAGATGTGCTTTTGCATGGGAGACATGTGGGTTAGGGGGATGGAATGAATCAATGAACTAAGATGAATAGAAATAAGGATGAACCAGAACATAGGAATTTATTGGTAGGTAAGAAAGAAGAGGAGGGAAATCGGTAAGTTTAAAGCAAGGGATAACAAGGCAGAATCTCCGATGGAGGAAAAGGAAAGAAAGATATAATTAAATGGTAAGTCCCCTCCCCCAAAAGGTAAAGTAATTCACAGGTAAGTCGTACATATTAGATGGCATCGGAGTCATAGGGAAAATATAAAGTTAATAAAACTAAGTTATTGCTAAAGATCCGAGATTGCTTCGAGCTGTATTGATGCAATGTGAATTATTTGATGTGAACGCAACATCTTCAAATTATGATGTTTAACAATCCAACTACAATTTGGAGGAGTCCCAGGGACCCGGAGAAGTCTCTAATACTAAGATTGAACTTATAGGGTCTAGATAAAGGAAACATATAACATGAATGAGATATCATCATTTGCTCTCTCTATTATTCGTCTGGAATGACCAAGTACTCACCACACCAAGCTCTTTAGTTCGTCGTTCTGTAACTTATTGGACGCAGCAATGTATGAGTCTCCGCATTTGCTAACGCAGTATTGAACATCATAAGTGGTATTCAATTTGAGAAATACCAAAGTACCCAAAACTGAGCATTCAGTGTTTCGTCAGTAGACGTGATACGCAATGCAAAATGATGATCGCTCTAGGAATTGATTGTAGATATAGACGTAGAAATAAGTAAGTACAAATTCTTTCGATAAACTTTGAATATCTGAAAATCTTGTCGCCATTGTAATAATCCCATGTCTGATAAGCTCCGCCCCATACAAGAAGAATCAATAATACTGCTTAAAGCTTGAATCCTATGTATGATTCGGTATCTGTTGGCGACCGATAATCTTACATACCTACCTAAGTAGGTAATAAGCATAAATCTCGGCACCACCACATTGGGCACAATCTGACTTGAATTCCACCATACTGACGTTCAAAGGTAACGGAACCGGAGGCATCGCAGAACTGACTATAATTGTAAGTGTTTACGACTACAGTACACGAGGAGCACTGTGAATCGTCGATTATATATGAGGTAGTCGTCTAATTTCATGGATACGAAAGAACTTCCAATTGCCTTACAGTATTCGCTCCATAAGTGCCATTTCTGCCTTGCAGTAAGCAGGGCATTTGCCAGAAAATAATAGGTTTTGCGATAGTTCAATATCAATTATTGGTGCACTCGGTGACTACGCTGTAAAAAAATGTTCCTGTAGGCAGCTATGCCGCAATTTCGACCAAATACGGAATATCTTCAAGGCAGCAATGCGCCCCACACCACGATGAATATCCAAAATCATGAGTTTAAAAAGAAAGGTTGCGCACGCTGGTGCACAATATGAGTAGCAATAGCTTCGAGAAACAGACAGATAGAGCGATAATTGTTCAATCGAAGACAAGATGGTCAAACAAGCAGAACCTCAAAGTAGCCCCATGCCTAGCATGCCTACAGGTGCCTCCAGTCAAATCCTGAAATCGACCGGCTTTCGAAAGTTTTCTGCTGTGGCCATGATTGTTCTTCTTTACACTACTGCAACTCCGTTCAGTCCAATAGCATGGCTCACCTCCTCGATCGAAGGCTCGTTATTCCTCGACCGACTTCTCGCCGGCGCACTCCTCTTCGCAGCCATGTTTTTTCAATGGCAAGTTGCGGTACAAGCTTATCCTATTGCCATAATTCTTCCGACTGGTAATCGCACAACGATCTCAAACGGAAATATCGTACAATCAACTGGGGATGTGATTTGGATATATGAGCCTTCGAAATATTGGGAATATGTGTTGATTGAAGGCTTAGGGATGATAGCGGTTGAATGGGCAGGAGTAGAACTTATCAGGAGGGGTGTGGTCAGTGTGATTATTGCGGCATTGTGGATAGTGGGTTGGAGTGTTACGTCGGAGCGAACGAAGAGACAGGGGTGGGAATATTTGAAGAAATTTTGGTTTTGGATTGTGTTGGATGAGATTATGAGGGTGGGACGGGGTGGTGGTGGTATGAGGAAGAGAAGATGGTGAATTGTGGATGTTGACTGATGTGGTGTTTGTTGATTGAGAATTGTGTAGATTATGAGGAGCTCGAATCATCTGAACGGATGGACCTGAAGCTGTAGACGGAACAGGAAAACCGAAGGAATTCAACGAGGAATGTTCGAATCGAATCAACTTTGGTTCGCGGAGTAGAGAATTTAGAGGAATTTAACTTTTACCAACAGTTTTGTATTCCATACCTAGACGAAGACAAATCCGTTCACGATCAACCCCGCCAAACGCATGTAACCAGATGGCATCCATGATTTCTTTCCAGCAATTCCGAGAAACTGATTCTCCTTATACTTTATTACTCTGCACTTATCTCAAGAAGCTAAACACAAGCCTTCTTTGGCTACATGTCGAACAGAGAAACGTGTTTTTTCAGACAGTGTCACGTGAAATAGTATTCTTGCAGCATGCTCGAGCAATGCTAGGCTGCGTCACCGGATCATCAACATCTTGATTGAGGCAATATGTTTCAGAATGAATTGATTGTGTTTGTTAAGTAGATTCATACTCTTACGGCATTGACGCGCCAACAAAATAACCTCGATCATTACGCCGCAGAATAGCAACATTAAAACATAAAATCTTCAACATATCAAACCAACACCCCTTTATTCGCGAGTAGAGGCCCCTCAAGTTTTGGATCAAAGTTCAAGAAGGATGCTTTTTAACATCTCCATGGGACCCAGAAGCACAGCACTCTGTTGGAGTGATCTTTTCTTGTTTTCCACAATACACATATTCACCCAACCCCTTCGAAGTATTTCAGGCCGACCCATCAAAATACCCCTTTCTTTCGAGCCTTTCAGTAATCAGAATCATTTTCCAAAGCAATCTGACCACGCTTTCCTTTGCCTTTCTTCCTATTCCTCTGCTTTTGTTTCCGTCCTTTATTTCCGCCAGATGAGCCGGGTGTTTGATTTCGACTCTGCTTCTCAATGGCTAGTTTCTCGGTCTTCTTTTCCGCAACTAGGCTTTGTAGCTTCGCTGAAAGATCCGGTCTTTTTTCTTCAAATATATCCTTAATGATACGTTCCAAGGAATGTCGTACTTTCCATGGCTCGTTATGGTTTTCGTTGACATGGCTTGCGCTGTCGTCGCTCGAATCGCTCAAACCGATGTCAGCAAAAGCCTTGCATTCAAGTGGCGGTTTGCCGTGTTGCTCTAAATTGTCGCGCCAACTATATCGGCGGTGATCGGGAATCAATTTATTCCATGCCGTCTTTTCTTCAATACAACACAATTCAACATCAGCTCCGCGCTGGAGCATGATTTCCATTGCCCGAAAGATTACATCAAGATCACCATGGTACCCAAAAGAAATGAATTTAGTATGCACAACGTGAAGAAATATTTTCCACAAGCTGTGACTGTAAAATATCTCATTAAAATTGGCATTGTTTTCTAACAGAAACACCAGTAATCTTGAAATGGGTAAGCACGCTTCAAATTCAAACATAATAGGACCAAAGCAGAGTACCATCAGAGGAGGATCATATCTCAGTCGCATCAGAGACGGGTCTGATATTATCTTCATCTCAACATAAGAAGATACACCACCTTCGACACATGCCGAAAGTAAGTTCATCATACTCCATAGATCCGCCCTGTCGCCCTTGGAGACATCTTGATAAGGACAACTTTCATCATAGGTGGTACAATTAACATTAGTACGATCAATAAGAGTAGATTCAAAGTTAGACTTATGCCAATATTCCAGTTGGTTAGTAGATGGGTTACGAAAATCCGAATACCGCTGAGCGGCTCTATCAAACTCCTCAACCAATTGAGGGATATGGCCTTTGGCCTTGGTTGAGGCAACTTCGTGTATGTTCCAGGCGAAGACATTACAAATAAGTCTCCAATGTTCTCCCATTTTTATTATACCTATCGATAGAAGCGAATTATTCTTCGTACCCGCCTTGACTAAGTGTAAATACAAAATTGACCAAGTCAACCATGAATTGAATTCCAGGTCTGATGTATGAGTAAGGAGTAATTCCCACGTCTTGGGCCTTTGTATGTATTCCCGAGCGGTTCTATGAATATAATTCACTGTCCCTGTGTTCTCAGTCAATTCCAAAAGTCCTCCACACCGGGTGCGTAATACATGGGCGAACTTCTCCCCGTATTCCTCGAGGGACATTTGGCGAAAGAAAGACGTTTCATCTGCAGGTATAGCTTGGTTGAAAGACTAGAAGCTCAATTTGTAGGCAACATACAACTCTAGAAATGGGATTTCTGACATAATCACACTTGCACCTTTTTCCAGTTGAAATATTTTTGAGGCCTCTACCATGTGTATTCGATCAATAGATGATAAAATACGGTCATATAGGTCGTCTATATCCTTCGGAGTCTCTTGTAAGCGAACTCTGAGTGTTGAAATATCATCCCTTTTTCGGAGGCCATTCAGTAAAGAATTTACGACCAGCCTAACCCATAAGAATACTCCATCCCCGTCATCCACGACTTCGGTTATCAGCGCTGACGCATCCGACGGACTATTCTTCATCAAAAGTCGCATTTGTAAGTTATTCTCCAATCTATCTCGAACGTAGTTTGTGATATCGGACTCCGTTAGGTCATGGAGCTTTAGTTGTGGCATGCTTTTGAATGTATCCAAGAATCCAGTCTCAGGCCGGCTGGATAGGCAAAATTTCGCGTGTTTCGATTCGGATAGTTCGTAAAAGTACTCTGCAATATCCCAATAATTTCCTTCATATTCATCCAAACCACCAATGAAGAAGCAAAATGATAATATTCCCGACGTTTTCTCGATCAGTGTCCGGAATGACTTTTTCAGAGCAGGTAGTGACCAGTTTGTTGACAGAATAGGGACATTATGCAGAGCATTCTCGAATGTGGTTTTCCATTTCCTGGGAAATACTTCGGGTATGAGAGTGCAATGTTTCTCAAGAATCTCGAAAAGTAGACTTCGAAGTAAGCCAGATTGCGATCTTTGAGCTTCATTACCACTGTTCCAGAAGAAAAAGGATGGTGTCTCCAGGGGAGTATTATGTGCCCATGTTTGTGCATATCCACGAGATCGAGAATCGTCGATAATAAATCTCATCAAGGTTGACTTTCCACATCCAGGTTTGCCATGAATCCAGTAGATGTCATTTTCGGTTTTTAGCCATTCGCTGAAATTGCTCCAAGGTTTATGTTCATTTTCGGGATCACAAAATATCCACTCAAAAGTTTGCTGATGTGCTTCAGCAATCGTCTCATGCCGAAGATTCATCGATGAAAATTTGAGACTTTCAAGAATATTTAATTCCGCCTGGCGCCGATGCCTCAACGCTTGCTGATCAACAAGCACACTGCGAGTATGCGAATGCTCTTTCTCCTGCGACAACCTCAAATGATCAAAGTTTTGCTCAATATTAGTTAAACTACTCTGGTGATTTACAAGAAGGTCCTGCATCATTGCTTGCAATGCTTTGTCAAGCGATTTGAAATTATTGTCCTGTTCAAGCTTGACTTGGATCATTCGATATCTAAATGACCTTCTTAGTACTGAATAAGTTTGATCTCATTGTATGAATGAAGGAGCCAGTAAAGAGTGCGTGAGTCACTTCTAGTCTGGCTAGCTCAGAAGATCATGGACATACCTCAAGTCAACAAGAACATGTGTCTCGAGATTGCTACGCAAATCACCCAAACAACTTTTCAACCCTTGTATCTTTTTCTCATTCCAAACAGCCCTGAATGCTTGTCGGAAGCTTGCTGGCCTTCGATGCTTGACACTTAGATTAAGCTTTAGGGAGCCAAGAAGACCGCTAAGTTCCTCGGACAAGTCGATGCATTTAGTGCAGATATCTTTGAGGGCTCGATCAGCATCCGCTGGTGAAGGTGGAGGTGCATTTTGCATTCCTGAACTAAGAGAGCCCCTTAACGGCTCAATCAAATTTTGCAAGCGATTTGTCGCCTCTCCAAGTTCAACATTGGCCCCAAGCTCTCCAGACTTATAAATTTCTCTCCCTTTCAAAACTAGTCCCATGCTGTAATCAATGAACTGTATCACAGCTGCCGCGACTCCTAAGGCTGTAATTGGGTCCATGTTTCCCCGAGAAGAATATTGTAAGGAATAGCGTTGATTATCGACAGCAATACTTTCTTGTAATCTAGATATTTATATATTAAAGTTTATGAGCTGATTCAACGATTATATGATCGGACTGTGGATTCAAGATGATATGTGCAACAGGAACAAGGCCGTGATATATGTCAGCTTCTGACACACTTCAGCTTCCTGGTATCTTGTGGCGAAGCATTGCCCGGGATATATGCAGGCGCACATACTTTCTGCGCACTCCCTACATATTGGATGACCAGAAGCCTATCAATATCCTCAATCGTCCAATCATCTAACGAACTGGTAATATTATCTTGGTGGCTTGATAGATGTGCATTTTGCATTTTGTACCACCACTCCATTTTTATTACTGGCAGGACGAACAACTAGTTCTTCAAACTGTGGCGACCGCCGTAAGACCAGAGAATTAACATTTGTTATGTCTTCTTATTTAGTGATAGAATATTTTCAAAATCCGTAATTGACTGCAGTCCAGACTGGCTGAGCATACACGGTCTCTTGAAATGGGCCTTTGACATGACAAGCATCCCCATGTTGAGAATAGAGGCTTATTGTCTCGAATGAAAGAGAGAAACATCCAAATCCCGAGACTTGAATGATGCAAATGAGAAGGAGGAATCACGTTATCACGTGACGTGCCTCGACAGCTTCTTCTATAGACCTTCTAAGACCAGGAAGATATTGTAACCCTCATGCGATAAATGTTCAAAAATCCGACCTGAAATAAATGGAGTTTTTTGGTCTGACCGAGAACCAGGAGGCCAAATTGGAGAAAGCTCTCTTACAGACTCCTCCAGGGTAGATGCAATCGGCGGGCGAAGTATTGCAAGCCTAGAATCATGTTAAAGGAAGGAGCATATGATTTCGCGATAATATATGTCGTGTTCTTCCTCTCGGACTACCCTATTGATCGCTGGAGTTTTGGAAGTGCTCACTCGCACCAGCAGCTGCACTTATCTTGCGCCGCGTTCAACTGTCGCAGAATCCCAATGCTCGAGTTATCCTATAAATCTCCGAGTATCAATGTCTTGAAACTTTACCCCCTCATTATACCCTAGAGTTTATGGATACGCTTGACAAATCATACCTAGTACTTGTTAAAGTATCCAAGCACATTCTCATTGCCATTCCCCACCTCAACACCCAATTCCACAACTCCTCTTTCTCATCGCGCAACAATTTTCAGAGATCCACCTAGAAAAGCTGTCATGACAGAAATCCATATTCCTCGTGTATTTGATACTATTTTGATGCTTTCTGGAACGGAGAGATAAATGATTGAACAACTCCGCTCATGCATAGCTTATGACTCCTTTTGGTTACGCATTATGTACATAGTCGACTCTGAAACACCCGTTAGAGAATATATAACCCTAAGATCGTGGGGCAATTTTTTTCATGATGTAGGATTCATATTAATCATCTCTCTCAGGCAACACAAGAGAGCGTGCGCTTCTGGATGTACCCAGACAAGATACTTACATATTTTTGTCATTCTGTCATTTAGCTGTTCTGCTTATACATATTAGTCCTATAGTATTTTGCTTTTAAATTACATTGATATCATCCTTATAAATTCTCAAGGGGACGCTCTAACCGGCAGTTCCTCGACCCAGCCCTCTGCATCCCCCAGTTCCACACAACTTCCCGCCCTTCCCTGCCCTTGTTCACTCCTAGGACTATCACTCGTTCCCCGTCCCATATCACTCTTAGGACTACCGCTCATTCCCCGTCCCAAGTCACTCCTCGAACTCCCACTACTGGACCTCCTCTCCCAGTTCACCGATCCAATCAACCTAAAAATTTGATTTTTATCCGTCGCCGCATGCCGCATGTGACCATCCCCAATCCTTTCAGAGCCATCTCCCCATACCGAGCCTTCTTTCTTCTCTGATGCACATTCATCCCATTCTGCAAACATTTCACTATCCCACACTCCCTCCTTCATCGGTTCCCCGTCACTATCTTTGTACGATCTCAAAAGTTCTATTGCCCTTGTCCGGATCGTATGGTCATGGCACCATTTTGCGGCAATATGCAGAGGCATTATAACACCTTGGTCGAATTTAAAATTACCAAGTTGTCGTTGATCTTTTGTTTCGGCAAGAATCTCCTCAGTAATAGCCAATATACTTTGATACTCCGGAATGATTGCCTGGTGATCTGGCGGCGGACCGCCTGGCGCAATCTTCATAATTATATCCATCGCGATGCTCTGCGCTCTTAACAGATTGGCTCCGGCAAGTTGATCATTTTCTAGCGGTGGGATGTTAGAACAGAATAAATCGAAGGCCGATGTCCATCTGATAAGTGATTGTGTGATTTCGTATTTAAGAGCCCTTATGTCTACTACTTCAGGCAGGCTATTTTCCTCTTTGAGGCCTTTCGTTGGTATGATTGCAGTGGAAGGATCGGTCTTTTTGGCGGCGGCGGCGGCGGCATATTCAGCTGCTAGGTATCCAAAATGTATTGATCGTCTCTCGATTAGCTCGAGATATAACCGGGCTTCCTGTAAGTCAGGAAAAATGCTAGGCATGTCTTGCATTGTTCCGATTGATTCGTATATTGTCTCCTTGTGCTCTTCACTCGTTCCAGGGTCTCCAAATGTTGCAACTTGTTTGTCAAGCCTGAGGAAGGCTTGAACTAATTCGTCCTCAATCATCCTAGAGTCCGGGGAACAGAGACCTGCTTTGTAATTTTTACCTCTATAATTTCTTAGCCACTGACGCAGTATCTTAACACCACTTCTAGCATGTGTAAGAGCAGTAAAGTCGTTTCCTAATAACCATTCAAAACAGCAAATTAAAAGGCAACCGATCAAGGCCTTCCTTGGACCTTCACTGGTTTCTAGTTTAGACAATCCAACACTCATTGAACGAAGGGCAAGCCCATATCTCTTGACAGCGAAAACTCGCATTTGCACTGCTTCGTCCGCGTATCCCCTCGATTGGACATCTTTGGACTCAGCAAATGAACCAATTGCAACTAGCATCTCTCGAAGATAAGATTCATCGTGTGCAGCTTGCATAATGATGCGATCCCATAACGACGAGGGAAAGACGCGACTTCGACTCCAAGTCACGGATATGCTTGTCTTGGTTAAATATGTTCGAAAGTATCGTTCTTCAGATTCATCTTGGAAGGGCAGTCTCATTGACGGCGAGGAATGTGGCGATAGTTGCTGTGAATGAGATGATTGAGGCGATAATGATATTGGCGATACCTCATCAGTGCGAGGGAGAAGCGGTTTGGGGTCGGGTTTACGTCGATTTATAGAGATACGAACGCCATATCCTTCACATGCCACGCCAAACACCTGACATCGATTGCATTCGGGTTTTCGCTCGTCACACTTGATTCGCCTTCGTCTTTAAATGCAGATGTATTAGTGTCATCGAGCCTCACAGTGTTGACGAAGCATCGACTTACTTGCAAGTTACGCATCCGGACCGAACCTTGGGGAGGTTAGGCCGCTTCTTGGCTTGTCTTCCGGAAGTACCATTAAGCTGGGCCGAGGGGTTCACCTGAGCTTTATTGTTGTACGGAGTAATAATTGTGTTGCCATCAATTGGGCTTCCATCTGAGGCTTGAAATTGGACGATATACCCGATGGGAGGATTAGGCGCCATTGCATACAATGATTTTTCTGTGAATTGCTTGACTTGTAGTAAGTATCCAATTGTCTCTAGGAATTATCTCCAGATCTACTCGAGTAGTCTGATGATATTCAGCCTTAGACCAGACGATGGAGTGTCTTGAATTAAGCACGGCCCCCTGATTATTGATCGACCAGCCAATGAGATCAATGGTAGATATTAGAGACGGAACGGAATCCGAGGATTCTGCTGGAGCCGCCAGTCTGGTAATGTCTACAACGGGAAAGGTATCATGTCCACGGGTGTATCGATGCTGGTGCTAGATTAAGCTATTCAAATCGTGTATGGGAAGATGAGATGTAAAGTTGACATCTAACGGACTTAAGACGGGGCTTCAAAAGGACATAAAAGCTAGTATCCCGAGAGAAAGAGGCGTAACCACTTCTTGGCTCCAGAAATCTCGTCTAATAGAGGATACCATGGGATACCAAGGCATTTTTAACCAATTTCATTCATTTTACAGGGCCGTTTCATAGTCAAGGCTCAAAAAAATCACTGTATTTGACTTTGTGACATCCAAGGCCCTGGATGATGGAACCATGATAGGAACCAACTCCCGTGGGTCTTACTTGTCTCTTATTCCGGCTGGGGTTATATCTATTCGAGGGGCGATGGACGAAATGAGCTGCACACTAAGCAAACCTTATAATCAATGTTCTACTCGAGTAATTCAATCAAATGCTTTCAATGTTTGAATTTGAATTTGAATTTGAATTTGTTAATCAAATATCGTTAGTGTTATAAATCAAGTCGGATATTCAAATGCACTGAATATTTCAAATCAATTTAAATACTCGATTATGTGTTTATAAAACCCTTTTTGGGGTGCAGTTTATATTATTCAAATTTCTACATAGAAAGAGGTTTCCATGATATTACTGGACCCTCGTGCCGTGGTATCGCCACACTTAATTAATATCCTAGCAAACTGTTCGAGTGATCCATAAAGCGTTTAGCCTTAGACGATCTGCAAAGACGCTCTGGAAAGAAAGTTCCTTATACTAAACGGATCGTGCTTCGGCTTGGGAATTCTTTTGGTCTCTCTTGCCATACCTTTGCAATAAGTTTTTCCATTGGAGAAACAGGCTGTACCGTCCAAGAATACTCACCCCTTTTTTCTGCCTTTTTCGCCTCAGAAAGTGTCATGATCGGTTTGCCTGTAGGATATCCTTTAGATCTTTGGATTATAATTGCACCGACCCTCCGATATTCACTATCAACATTTCCGGTTGATTCGACGAGAAGGAATGCTAAACTGCCGTCCAAATTGAAACCATTATTATCTTCAGAAACGCCTTCGATGTGCACAAGGAGAAAGGCGCCAAATTTTTGGTTTGAATGTGGAATATGTTGCTGTTCGAATTCAAAACTTGCATGGTCAGCGTCATTTATCCATTCGTGAATGTACTCTTGAAGTGCAGGCCACGATCCAGAATAGATCTTATCCATGCCATCATTACCGAGCCTTTCTTGAAATTTTGGCAGTGACTCAGGGGGGTCAGAAAATCTCCAGTAATAATCCGCCAGGTTGTGGATTGGAAATAGAACTCCTTTCATGATCAACGCGCTATCTGGCTCAAGGGGGCCAAATATATCCGTTCCTGAATGATGAAGTTGAAGATCGACTAAGGCTGCTATTTGATGTACGGCAGCATCCGCGAATGGGTATGGTTCTAGTTGTGTGCTTCCGGCATTGATGCTTGCCCAGGACCACGAAGGAGCTAAATAAGATTCGCGCTTCTTCCAATCAATATGTGTAAAGAACTGGGTGTCAATTTCAGACTCCGATACTTTGTTGATCTTTCTCAATGCTCTCCTGGTCCAAAGTAGACTGGGAATTAGGTAAGATTTCCACATGCCGGAAATGTAAGTATCTTTGGTAATCATCGAGAACTCCCGAGCAATACCGGATAGAGCCGGTAAAACATCCGTCATATATGTCAGATTCCTAATTGAGAACTGTTGCACCATTTCAGACCATCTCAAATATGGATCCATTCCCCAATTTTCTTGCATATTAATCCCTGTGGCCGCAAGTTTCTTAGAAGGATAGCCTAATTTGGCTCTACGATTATCGAATTCCGAAAAAAGAGCATAAGTCTGTAAAGACAAACTTTGTATGGCGCGACTCATTCTATTGGTTTGTTTCTTCCGCAATTTGTGTAAAAGATCTTTACTGTCGTAATTTTGATCCAGAAGTCCGATATGGCCACTCTCATCCTCCGTATGATAGGCACATTCCCATATCATTTGATCTCTGCCATATGATAATGCTCGTGGTGACAATAGTCCTTCCTGGAATGTCCAGCCACGAGTGAACCAAGAACTAGACTTAGCAGCCTGACGAGATATGTGAGATACTAAGCGAAGTGAGACGCTGGTATTGGAGTCCCAAGGCAATTCACATCGTGTAACGGCCTGCACATTTTCTGGCCGAGGAAAGTGTATTCCAGCGCTAGTCGAAGTGGAATTCGCTGCGACAATTGTGATTGTCGCGCCTGCGTAGACATCTCTCATCCGGCCGACTTCGGCCTTCCAGTCATCGGTGCTATCTTGACGGATGCATAGAGCATCAATCCACACATATTTCAAACCGAGTTCCCTTGTTGTCAAAATTGCATCTCGTAAGGTAGCCGGAAAATCAGTCACCGGAATACCGCTTATAAGACTGTGGTATGTTGACTGTTCCAATTTCAGGTAACCATTGCCACCCCATAAATAACTAAGGGCTACCCATTCAACGTCACCACGATTGGGGTTATCATCCAAAAATGGATTAGTGTATGAAGAGCCTACATCAATGAGGCGTGTAGGACATCGAGTTTTGATGGGTCCACAATCCTTATGATCTCTTGAGCAAACTCTCAACCATTGTTTCGCCAGTTTGTAGCAATCTGGAGAATTTGATTGCGCGAATATCGGCCTTCCAATAAAAGGGCTCTCCTGATGTACGGTACTATCTGATATCAATAGTTCAGTAAATATGAAACCATGGGAAATAAGGTTATAAAATTGAATCGGACCTACCTGGAGTTGCAAATACTTCGAGATTGCATAGGTTCCGCGGAGAACTATTTGCAGGTCGTTGGGACACCAAAACGTAAGGACTCTCACGTTTTGCAACACTAGAACTTCCTGTTCCAATGAAAATCTGACCCTGACCGTTCTCATCAAGCCACTTATCTACAGTTATATCTTGCTCCTTCTTTGATCGAGTCGTCCATATCAGAACACAAAATTCACATCCAACTTCTGAAGAAGCTTTTAGAGCGGCGGTGCTTATATGGTGCTTGTAAAACTCCGGTAGACCAGGCCGTACCTGCAGATCAACACTCTGATATCCACTTATTGCTCCCTTGGCTGATGTCGCATTTTGGGCGGCGGAATCAAGGAAGAGCTTTCGAAGATCGAACTCTTGACATATCTCACAAAGATTCGGTGACATGATAACAATGATAATTGTTCCTCAAGAAAATCATACAAGCGCAAAAGATTTGTTCATCCAACTCGACTTATAGCAACTGCTGACAGCGGGCGCTTATGTCAAATTATGCGTAAGACAGCTGAGATCCGCGCAAGGATTATATTCCTGCAACATTTAGCCCCCAAATGTAGTCGACAGACGGTGCGAATAGTACAAGAACTGTATGACAGAAAGCATAGCGTACAAAAGTGACTGGGCGCTCTGGTGTCAAATATATACGTTCCATATATTTGAAATGATATTTATAATATCCGAATCTAAAAACGTATGGATTCTCGGGTAAGGAAGTTGTGCCATTGCTCTTCATTCTTGAATTCTATCGGAATGCACTGGTCTCGGCGTGATGTGAGAAAAATCAACATTACTTTAATATTTTAATGATTACTAATACCAATTATGACCATCTTCTCCTTTCTCTTCATTCTTCGGATTGAGCGACAAGATCCTTTGCGCAGGAAGTGTAATACCAAATTGTGATTCAAAAGTTCCAGAAATCGCACGCCCTTTAACAGTATCAAATGAATCATAGCCCTCGAATTCGCCGTTGATCGCAGCCCATTCTGGCGATAGCGGAGAAGTTCCATTGCCTAAATCGCTCCACCTCGTCACAGTCATAGCTTGCTTGAATCTGTTGACTTGGTCGGTTTTATCCTCAGCAAATTTAAGTTCAACCAAGTACTCTGTTGGACATCGTGGGCAGCGACGCATCGGCTGACACACAGAACATTGCGAGGACATTTGACTCCTTTGATTTGCAAGTGAAAGAAGAGCATTCGGACTGCTTTTCAGTGCTGAAGACGCTGTTTCTCTACGTTTGGGTATGTGCCCCAACGCACATTTACATACATCCATGAGATCGCCATCTCTCCAATGAGCGCAGACCGAAAAGTATGGAAAGTAATCCTCGCGGGAATACAAAAGGTTCCGCTGCGCACTTATAGGGAGATCTGGTTCTGGAAAACATTGACTGATCACACGTAAGAGAAGATGGCCTTTGTCAACATAGTATCGACTTTGATGTGACCAGGTTCCTGTACCTTGAGCTCCAAGTTGAGGATCTTTCCAGCGTTTGGATATCGATTCTACTGGAACTCCATGGCTTGGAGAGTAGCGATTTGATCGTATCACAAGCTGCACGAACGAGAACGGGAGAGTGTGACCGACAGTTAATCGAGTCCTTGGAGCGACTTGTGTTAAAGCATTTGGACATTCGTAAAGATGATTTATAATATGTGTGGCTTTCAGACGTTCTTCGCCTGGTATTATGCGAACATGATAGATTGCACAGGGGAAACAAAGAAGATGATTAGGAAGATCACGGTCCATGTGAACCAAAAACTCAATCCTGTATCGATGATTTTCTGGAAGATCCAAAGCATGCCATGGTTTACGTCCAACTCGATGAAGAAGTGTTTTGCTTGAGAAGGCAAGACTCGCCGCATCACTAGGTGAAAGATATCCTGCAATAAGGCTCCAAATATTTGAAGGTAAACTGGCTACCGCGAGCTCTCCGGGGGGCCGATCTGGATTATCCATACCGTAAGCTTCATGCATAGAATCAAAAGATCCCACGTGGGCTAAACCGTGGAGCAATTCGGTATGATCGATCCTCTCTCCAGTTTGCTCATCGACTGCACCATCGAATGATTGGCCATTGGGGCGAAGATATTGAGTGGCCTGCGAAGCCCCTTTTCCTTTCGGATTGGCGGTCTTCGGACGAGTGGGCTGTTCCTTTCTCAATTTATTCCGAGATGGTTTAAATCTTAACGTATTGACGGTACTTCCTGCATCTGACTCGGCTTTCAAGTAAGCGGACTCCCCTTCATCTGACTCTGTCTTCAATCTATTTCGAGAAGCTTTTGGGCGTAGAGAGTTAAAGAGTTTACTGAAGACCATGATACTTGGCGTGATATAGATATCTGAAACCCTTGAGATTACAGTGATACTAGAATTGGCAAATCTACTCTCAAAAAAATGTACAAAGGTAAGTAGAACAATAAAAAACGCTAGCACAAGGGGCGGAACGCGATATGGTCGCGCCGGTAGATCCGCGTGCTGAGTCAGGCGAGCTTCCCAGTTACCGCAGATAGCTCCAAAGCTAGTATGTGTATGACATCAATAGTAGTGGTCCTTAAGAATACCTGCTGGTAGTATGTCCTTCATAGGTCTTTTTAACAAGAAAGATATTGTCAGTTAAATGGATGTTTCTATGATACCTAACTTGATAATTAAGTACTGGGTAAGACTTTTCAAGGCGAGCAGCCTCCCATCAAAAAATACCGAAAATTGCGATCCCAAATTAGAATCCTTAGTAATCATTGATAAACGCATAGCGAAAATTACTAAGCCTACCCCCTTCTATATTCTGGCCACTAGATATGATGTCCAGTGCATGCATGAGCTCAGCCTCGAAAACAGATGCTACAATATCAATATAGAAATGCTCAAACATTTATCCCCATCAAGGTAGCAAGTGCGCATACCTAACTACTTTATCCATACATATGGCACGAAGAAGAAGACCGCCGCGCGCTGGCGCCATTTCCGAGTTACCACCCTTAAAGATCCTCAGTCAGATTATAATCCTCCAAGTGCTCTGGTATGCTATCGGGACGGCGCTGATACTTTTTACCGCACTGGTTGCTGGAAGAGCTTTCTCTTTCGATATGGTACTGAGTTGGAGAAGCTTAAGGGGTGATACAACTGTTGGCTGGATGTTAGGGTTTGTCTGGATGTTGAATAGTTTTATAGGGTTTGTTGTCGTCTTGCATTGATTCTTCCTCCATGGAACTGACATAAAGAACAGAGTTATCTCGCTCCTCCTTCTTGTTTCGCGCTCCAAACTTATCCCTGATTTCGCCATAACCATCCATTTCCTGCATCTCCTGATCACGTCCTTCTATTCGCACTCCGTCCCCCGCAATTGGCTTTGGTGGGCTTTACAATTCGCATCTGCGTCTCTCATGACCTTTTTAGGCATATGGAGTTGTCAATGGCGAGAATTGCGCCCTATAAATTTTGGTACGAATTCGAACACGGCTCAGAATAATACGAATACTGTTACAGATAGTACTGGTATGGAGAGAGATATTAGTGCCGGCATGGAAGGAGAAGATGACGCTACAAAGGATATAGAACAAGGGTACGGAAGAGGGAGAGGAAAGGGTAGAGGAAGAGATGGGGCTGGAGATTATGAGATGGTTGGTATGGGAGCAAAGGCAGATGAGAATATCAACCCTGGTTGAAGGATAGATAAGAGGGTGCTATCGGTTTGTCGTTTGGATCTGGACTTGGGCGCATAGATAGGAAGCAGATATAGGGAGGCGTTTTGGAACTCGGCACTAAAGATGTACTATTATGGATGCACAGCGGCAGAATAGGTACTGCATTGTAACAAAAGAATATAAAGATACCCAAGGCAGGTTCAATGGTTTATTATTCCAATTTTGTACTTTTTTCCTTTCGTCACACGATTTGTTTGTTCAATTTGATCATTGATAACGATTTAGGAATCGCCAACTGTCTTTGAATTTTACAAGTATGTCCTTTCCCTTCGTTTTCCCATATTGTCGACTGGGCCATCCCAAAATTCCTTTCCAGGACCCACCGGCCTTCCATCAAGTTCGATGCCGTCACTACCGGGTCTAAATATCTGGGTTCCACTGGAGTTCGCCCTTGCCAAATGAATTCCTTGGATTTTGTTCTCTTCATCACATTTCAAGGTCCCGTCGTCGTTGAAGTCTTCTGGAGTGCATACCTCTGATAACAGACTTGTTCGTCTTCCCCGACATGAACCGGCTATTGGCTCTAAAGGCGGCTGAGAGCTTGATCTCGATTGAATAAACATTGCTCCTGCAGTGTGTTCTGTTCTTATCATATTTGGTGAAACATAGCCACCTGTGTCCTTGAATGAATCTGGTGGAATCATGACATGTTCTGGTTGACGTGCATCAGCTAGAAAAGACGTGACGGCTGCCATAGTATCTGCTCCCTTGAAGAAAGGAGACATTGGCCTTAAACCTGGTAGTGAAGGAGCTATAGGTGTCGCAGGAGGCGTTGTGGGAATCGTAAAAGGTGTCAAAGGAGTCATCGGGCTCATTGGCGTTAGTGGTGTCATCGCACCACTTCTTGGAGTGTTGTAGTGCGGGCTATCATCACCACCAGCACTATGAATGTCGCCCCTTTCTTGGGCTCGGCGCCTCCGTGCCCTTGCATCCGTGCTGAGTGCGGAACTTGTCGCATCACTTCCTGACTCTGACTCGTCATTTCTAGATCCTCTTCTTGGTAAGGAAGCCTGCAAGCTACCCCCAAATTGGCGCCTTATTGATTTCCATCTTCTCACTACGAGCTCCCTCACCGGCTGTACGTATACTGGATGGGGCTCTGACCTGAGGACTGGCTGTAAACGATAATTGGTCTTATGTGGCAGAGTTGGCCGTACTCCTCGATATATCTTCGAGGTATCGATATTCGCATCATCAGCCGGTATTGGTGGCAACAGTTCTGGTAGATCTTTGACCATTGAATGCCTATGATTGTGTCTTCGGTTATCAGCTCCAGGCACGTGCATTGTTGCCGACATCTTCCCACATTCAATTGTATGCCCATCCCCCAATCTTTGGCCGATCGACGTTCCAACTTTGCCACTGAATGCGGAATTGACGCTTGAGGAATGATTGCTTCTATGGCTCCCAACAGTGCAATCACATGCCGATTGTTTTGAGATATTCAATGCTCTGTGGACTTTCTGTAATCTACCTCGTCTTCTTGCAGGTTCTGACGTGATACTCAACGGCGTAGCATCGCCACTACATGGCGGTGACGACGAATAAGTTGATGACCCGTCATACCCCCCGCAATCCCATGGGTGAATCGGAGATGTACTTCGTGCTTGATGTCCAAAGCAAGGTGAATATCGAAATTGGGTGTGCATACGCAAAGAACTTATCATCCTAGAATCTGGTAGTTTCGAGTCTCCTTTCCTATTATATGATGTTGGAGTCGACGGAAGAGGTACAAGATACTCTGGTGTTAAAGTGAAACAAGCTGCGAGAAGTTGAAGAGCAATCACTTTTGCAAGTTCTTGTACGTCGCTGGAATCTGCAAAATTGCTATCGTCCATAGTGGCGTAACGTTTCTTTAGTTGCGGTCTGGAGTCGTCTGTAATATCTCTCATCCAAGCTCGTGTGTTGCGCTCTTCATGATTCTTTGGAGATAGCGTAGAGATGCGACACATACGGGTACTTTTGAACTCAGGTGACCACCAGAAAGGCCTACCAGTGCGACAAACATATTGCCACTCATGTATTTCTTTGTTGATGATATCCCAAGAAACTTCCTCGGCCTCGCTGTCGAGATCAGAATCAATATCGCTATCCCAATTTTGACCGAGAGTTGCAAGAGAGCTATTGCTCATGGTCGACAAAGTCCGACGCTGTGGCTTTGGTCGTTGGGGTCGCTTCGAATCTGCCGTATACAGTACCTCACTATTTTCGGAGCTATTATCTTGGGGGGGTTCTGCCTCAAGAGGATCTGCGAAGGATACGGACTTTCTAAAGTTTCTTGTGAGAGATGCTCGGCGGGCTCGACGGAAGAAGTTAGAAGCAAAGGTTGAGCTGGAGGGTGTGGTGGCCTTGCTGGAAAACTCATGCCGGGAGTAAGGAGAATCATTTTGCCAGCTCATTTCTATGTTTTTATAAGAATACAAGAAGAAGCGTGAAAATATAGGTGGGTATAGGTAGGTTATGATATTTCTAGGTAATGGATCCGATGATACGGATTGTGAGTTCGTAAAAACGGAGTCTCCGGTAGGGAATCATACCGTTCGGAAACTCCGAGAAACAACGCGCCAACATCTTTAAGAATTGGAAAGAGCTGCGGATGTATAGCGTTGGCATGAATGCACCTTCTTTATGCCAGACTGTTAAGTTTGCATTTCGAGCTGCCATGGCTAAACTATTGTCCCAACTACACCACTTCCGTTGATAATAGTTGCAATGTCTGGCACTACCTACCAACATGTTTCATCAATATTCATATGCGACTGACTCCTCCACATCAAAGCATTCATCTCACATGAAGCTCACTGCAATATCACGTGTAAAATTTACCCCACTTACCATGCCCATACTTGTTAATCTTCCATTCTTGTTTCCATGATCAACATAGTTTGCACATGCAACATATTACAACCGAAGAAGCTTGAAGTGACACTATTCGTCGCCGACCTCCCACCATGGGTATTTGCGCCTTGTGTCTCGCCATTCCTGTAGAGCCGATTCTCAATAGGGATCTTGAGGAATTTTCACATGTTCATCATCTTTCAGTGAAAGGTCTCGAGATATCCGCAACAAACTGTCACATATGTGCCTTATTCTATGGTGCTATTTCTTCCACTCCATCTCGTAACGAAGGGCAGAAGACTTATTTGAAGATAGACCGAAAACAAGGGGCTTCTACCCATCTTAGAAATCCTATTTCCTACCAAGTGGGAAGGGATGGACAGTCTTATCTGTTTGATGTAGAAACTACGGGTATGAGGAATTCTTTTTGATATCAGTCGTTCTCGTTCTCTATTAGAGGTTCCTCGCACATAAATCTCACATCTCTCAGACGACTTGAATTCCAGCCTCTTGTTCCCCAGAAATCAGAATAATACCTCTATCATATCATCATGGATTAAAACCTGTATTAATGAGCATGTAAACTGTAATTTACATTACGATACCCAATTTCGGCCTCATCGGCTAATTGATGTTGGAAGGTATGGCACACCACCTCGACTAGTAGGGACGCAGCAAAACGATGATCGTTATACAAAGTACCTTGCGTTGACACATTGTTGGGGAAAGGAAATGCCAGAGGCTGCAACAACAAAAACCAGGACACTTAAGCGGCGCTTGCTCTCTATTCCTTTCAAGACGCTACCTCGAACGTTTCGTGATGCGATCACTATTACTAGACGTCTCGGACTACAATACCTATGGATTGATTCTTTGTGCATTGTTCAAGACTCTCTGCAGGATTGGCAACAAGAATCAGCTAAGATGGGAAAAATCTATTCCCATGCATACTGCACGATTGCAGCAGCGGCAGCAACCAACTGTGAAGGGGGCCTCTTTGCATTACATAGCGAGCTACCATTGCTTCCTCAAGCCCCCAATCAGCCTGGAATTCTTTTCAAGACTCCTTATCCCGGATGGGACAATCTTTATAGCAAAAGTACACTGATCCAAAGAAGCTGGACCCTACAGGAGCGTGAACTTTCGCCCAGAATTTTACACTTCACTAAACACACCTTGCTTTTTGAGTGCCGAGAAGCTCGAATATCCGATCATACCCATGAACTGAATAGCAACAAATGGGCTTTGAAATCTAGTCTTTCACGATATGTCTTGAACTCAAGTGTAAGGTGTCTCGACAAGATCCACGAGGGTCGTCCGCACCACGATGTAGTAACTGAAAAGTGTCATGAACTTTGGCGAAAGATGGTACAGGATTATAACAACCGTAGACTCACGCATCGCTCCGACAAGTTCCCGGCGCTTTCTGGTCTGGCTCTCGAATTTGCATATCTTTTGAATGACGAATATGTAGCTGGGTTATGGAAAAAGGACATTGTCAGAGGTTTATGTTGGAAATGGTTATCAAATCGTGCGAGGCAACAAAGTACGCATAACTATGGACCATCATGGTCTTGGGCCAAGATGAATGTCCCGATAACGTATGGCCTTCTAAGAGAAGACCGGGTCTTCGAATCGAGGACCAACAGAGGACAATTTGTTCATGTACCAGTAGACTCACGAATTGCTGATCCGGAAATTTTACACATTAGTATTGTGCCCGAAGGGGAAGACCCTCGTGGAACTCTTATCTCAGGGAGAATATACCTTCGCGGGCAATTGCTTCAATTACAACGCTCTAAAACTGGTGACTATTCTATAGATGTCGAATCATTACCAATTATATTTGATCATTTACCCCAACCACCGGTAGACCTATATTTGATGAGCTTAGGGCGAACAAATGTAGGACTAGTTCTACAGGTATTTGAACATAGTAGCAAGGAATACAATCGAGTAGGGGTAATTGCTCCAACGGAATGGGAATGGTTCAAAGATATCAAATTTGAAAATATAACACTTGTCTAGCTTGTCGAAAGGATGCCGTCCTTAATCAATGGTTCCTTGGCAAGAATTCAAAGACCATGGGCCCAGATATTGATTGAATACTGTGGGTCAACCTCATAGTAGGATCTAGCAATCAAGGGGGTAAATATTTGAGGCCGCGGGAACAACCACATGAGTGGAACTCTTGGTGTTGTCAAGATACCGAAATTTCCTCGGCTTCAACTCTAGAGCAGAACAGAACGTGGAATGAGAGGCATGCCAAATCACAGTACAGTCACAATCTTCCTAAAGGAAAATAGCAAGTCAACGGAGAGGTATCTGCAATTCTAATACTCAAAGAATCACTCTTTAACCACGGCCCCATTATCAGGTCAGATCATCAAACGAAACTGCCCAAACTCGTGCCATAGGAAACAATCCATAGAATTCTGAGCCTATTACTCTTTCGCAAGCCTCTCTTCATTACCAACTTTGCTCTCATATTCAAAATCCACATCACCCGGTAACGGCCAACATCAATGGTCAATAGGAAGCAGTCACTTTGCCATGTTAGAGATCTTCTGAAGGGCCGTGGGATATGAAGACAATAGAATATAGTGACAAGATGTAGTGTTCCGATGTGGGCTAGTATTTAGGCTACAGAAGGGCCCATTAGAGGCTGGGATATGGAATAGGGAGAAAAGATGAGGATATGGGAAGACGAATAAATCAGACTGGAATCATTCTCTTCTTGTTACGTATTTGAAATGTAATGTGATGACTGGATGGATCCAGGCTGAATGAGCTTTATGGAGTATTAAAATCCGCAATCAATATTCCTCTTTAGGATGGGATGGAATGGGATAAGTAGATTTGCATAATATGATGTTTTCCAGTGTACTGAAAGACAAGCCTCCCTCGGGCTTTGAGAATATACGTAAACCATTGAATACACCCGCAACCTACATATAGTATAGTGACCGCGTATATATACATAAATATACATCACCTGCCTATCTACGAATGACATACGAATCTCCTCTTACCATCTCCTCGAGACCCCGTCGAAATCTATTCCATTCCCGAGCGACCAATCTCCTATCTTACAATTTTCTTCTACCCCCCTCGTACCTATAACTCTTATCTCTGTTCTTCCAAACTATATTCATTCCGTCTTACCCTTTCCCCCTCCTCGCTCACTATCCAAATTCCAGACCTTTATACCCCCCAAACCCTCCCTACTTAACATATCCTCACCACCCACCTACCCATCACCATCCACCCACCACCTCACCCCATTCGCCCAATCACTAAGCCCCTCAACCTACGAATCACAATTTCCCATACCATCCTATCCTATCCTATCCCATCCTATCCATCTCCTCTCCAATCATCCCCCAACAAACAAAAACAAAAATAACAATCAAAAATGAACAACAGAAATGACGCCTCCTTATCAGGATCCGACTCGAACGAGTTGAACCCCCGGATCCCTCTCTGCTTTCTTTTTCTCCCTCGCGATGCACAAGGGAGATGATTATGATAATGCACAGCACGCGTATGGAATGGTGGGGCGCCGCTTGCGCGGTTTGTATATTGTACTGTACTAGATGGTGGGTGAGTTATGGGGCTAGGAGATTTTGGGAGATTTTGTGTGAAGTATGAAATACTTTTTTGGTGGATAAGATGGGATGGGATTTTGAGGTATAAAGGGTTTGAGTTATTAAGCTTGGTAAAATGTTTATTTGGAGGTTGATAGGTATAGAGCATAAGAGATAGGGATAGGAATGGATGGTGAGATGATGAGTAATGGAGATGAATACGCAATGAAGAGAGAATACCTAGTACCTATACAGAAATTGAATTCTAGAATCTCATCTTCTGAGACTTTGATTTGAATACTATACGTTTAATTAATTCTCCTATCAAGAACTTTGAGTAACTCTTCAAGCAGACCGTCTTGTTGATTGATGCATACCGACGTAATGACAAAAAATATGGAAAAGATGGACACCGTACCGACGCAATGCCAAGACGACAGGGAGAAGGGAAGATTTTTAGGTTTAAGTTTAAGGTTATTTTTCTTGGGTGCTGGATGATGTGATGAGATGTCATGTCAAGTCATGTTTGTCTCATGAGGATGATGTGCTGCGAATAAGAACGAATCTAGTCGGTTATGGAAATGGTAGTGATTGGTTATGTGGTTAGTTAGAGGTAGGTAGGTATATTGACGTTGACTCTGTTCTATGGTCATTAGTCATGTTGGGACGGCGAAGAAGAAGAAGGAAAGAAATATACCTAGGTATCTATCGATTTGATCAACGTATACATGTATGTATGTATGGACCTATGTATGCAATTCACTCTTCGGGAAAAGATCAGAGATCTGGTCGAAAAATGGATGGGTGGTGGATGGATTGAAGGAATCACGGATATAGTAAGCAAGTGAACAAGCATTCATTCGATCTCTCGTATATTTACCTAACCTAAACTTCTTTTCTCCCCAAATGGTGGCGCGAGATAAGAATCATGGGATGGATTCTGCAAAGATGTCAGATCGTAAATTTCCTTTCTCGATATCCCATCTCCATCTCCATCTCTATATCTCATTCCCATGAGCGGATGAATCTGTAAGCCGCAACACAGGTAGGTATTCCAATTCTCGCAGCCTAGCCTCGTGCTGTTCCCCAAACAAGGGCCACAGTATCACGCTGACGCCAAGCATCGCAATGTGAGCTTATACATATATGCTTATGTACGATAGGTACCCTTTCCGACCAAGAAATGCGATTCGTGGGCTCGGTACGATGGGTGTCGTGTCTAGGACGTCAGATGCAGATATGTAGCTGACAATTCTCCACCGCGACCCTAATTCTTGGGATTTACGAGGAAACGAGTGAGCGAATGAAGTGGGAATGAGCGAGCGAATAACCGAATCGGTTTTAGGAGATGGGGTTTACGGTCTTTTGATGCTTGCCGAGCTTGCTTATAATTGTGAGGATCTTCCATGCGATTATGAGTGGGGAGTTTGGGATTGCTTACTGAGCCTTTAACGTTCGACTATTTGTTTGTATCGTAATGTAGGGGTAGGTTTACATGTCGTATTTTGCGTGTTGAGAGTATGAGACCGAGGAGATGATGTTTCTGAGTGCTGTGTTGTGAATTTATGATTGCGGTTAGCAATGATGATGATGATGATGATGATGATAAACCGATGAGAGTGATGACATGATCAAGCAACCCCAACATGTCGAGCCATTAGCCCATATCCCAATCCCGTATCTGAATCACAGCTAATATAGTGAACCCATATGCCACGCTGCCGCAAAGCAACTTCTCAATTGCGCATCCATTGCGTATATATTGGCGGCTGAACACCCATCATTACTCAAGCAAGAAGCACCAAAGTCACTTTATTTCACCCAACACTGATCTGTGTAATCTTGGCACTCACACCACATAGCAAACAAGCAACAACAAACGGATCTCTGCATCCATTCAGAACTAATCAAGCTCATCATCTCTCTCACAGCCTTATCCCATTTTCTCAATTCATTCCATTCGCTTCCTCTCACCGGAACTGTTTCTCCCATTTCGTATACACGAATGCAAATACCCGAGCCCCCATACCCTAACACCATTCACACTACATATCTGTAATCTGTCCGTCTCGTACATGAAAATAAGAATTTAAGAGTAAGCTTAAGGTTCCCGGCTATCGCAAGATCTTTCCTATTCCAGGTTCCATTGCGACCTGAGCTAGGTACACGACCTAGTAGAATAGTAATCAACCATCCATTCTCAATAAAAGGTTGATGTAACACCCTCGCTCGTGCTGCCGGGGAACCGGACATCGGGTTCGGATTGATTATACGTATTGGATGGAATGATTTGTCCACCTGTGTACCACATTACATAGGTACCTAGCATTCATCCTGTACATCCATCCTGTCCAAGAATCCAACGGTTGCGGCCTACTATCTACTGTACTATCAAGATATCCTACTTCTCACCGTCTCATTCATCAAATCTAGAACAGATCCCCGCTCCCCAATCCCAACTTTATCATCGCTTGAAACTTATCTGTCTACGAGTCTCCCTACCTACATATCTAACTACCTACCTACCTATAACAGATACCGACCTATTTTTCCGTGTCGTTAGCGGAGATCTCGATGCTAAAAAGGTACCCAAATTAGATCGCGCGCGCGGCATCTTCGGAGAAAGTGTTTTCACCGTTATCGAATAACAATTTACCAAGTTCTTGGTTTGGATCACGACGGAAGAAGCCAGTCGGTCATTCATGCTTTCATTTATTCATTTGATTCATCCATTCGGAGTACATGTCTACATACATCCAAACATACATAAGCTATCCGTCCATCCCAAGCAAAAAGGAAATTCGCAAAGGAAGAAAGGATGGCGATAATAATAATTATAATATTATAATAATTAATCATTTAAAGTTGATTAAAGTTTGCTAGCCCCTCCCCTTCATCCAAGCAAAATTAACCTTAAATCTTCTCATGTGCCACAGCGTGGCTTGGCACTTGCTTGGCTGTGTAAAGTTTCTCATGTGAAATTCGGAGTGAGGGAAAATTATATGGCTGTTCTTTTCTTTCGTATTGGGATGGAGGGATACGAAGCATGGAGAGAGGAGATCAAATATGCTTGGCTTATTCATAAGGGTTAATGTGATCAAAGTAGGGATGAGCGAATTATATAATTTGGGGGTCGATTATATAATTTCATATTATCATGCTTTTTGAGGTATATAAAATATTATGTCAAGCTTATGCATGTGTTTTTTGGGCCAATAAAAACATCAGGATGAATGAAAGTGGGTCTTTTTTTTTGAAAAAGTTTTTGATGGGTTCTAATTTTCAATTTAGTGTATAATTAAGTCTAAAAGTCATGTGCATCAGTGCTAATCATGTGATTTCTATATTAATCTTATATAATCTAAAATCAATAAAATTTGCATTAAAAGCAATAGTCATTAGCCTATTAAAGCCAAAAAAAATCTTCAAAAATCCCTACTT